GGCCCCAGTTTCTACCATGATGCAGATGTAAATCCTTTTTTTCCCCCAGAGCAGATTTTCCTAACGATTTTGGATTTGCAAGAGCAAAGTTTATGAGCTTCTGGAGGCAGAGGTGTCACACAGATCAGCAGCCCTCAGCTGTGGGAGCGTGCAGCTTTGTGTATGTGGCTTTGAGCAGTACTGTGCAGAGGTCGTGGTTAGTTGAAGAGCAGACCCATACAGATGGACCTACACTGTGTTCCCAGCCCTCTGCCTTTGAGATACTGGTTTCTAATGTTGATTAACTCTATTCTGAAGACCACTTTGCTGTGCAAGATAGATGCGCCCTTCATCTTAAAAGATAAGCCTTTAAATAAAGTGCAAGTATCTCAGATTGTCTGCTAATGGGGATCACAAATGTCTTAGCTCTGTTCCCTTCCAGAGTAGATGTGGGAAGTTCTCTTCCATTTGACGCCTTTCTGAGTGTTTAAACTCAATGAGTATCAGGTCAGCAGCAAACCTCCCACCCGCTTCAAGAAGCTTTGGACTGTGCCCCAGCCTGCTCTGCTAACAATATGTGACAAGCTGAAGTGAACAGTTAGACAGAAAGCATCAGGATTTTACAGCATATTTCACCAGCAACTTGTTTTTTCAGCTTTTTTTTTTCTTTGATTTTTTTTTTCCTCCTTACACTGTAGCAGCTCAAATTTATCCCAGGCTTCTACTGACATTAACAAGACAGTGGATGACAGGCAAAACGCGCCCACAAGCAATTCAGACTCTCCCCACTAAGTAATCATAAACACTACAAGTTTGCAACAAAGCAAGCAGCTGCCTTTCTCCCTCTGGACAAGGGCTGCTTCCTCACAAATTGAGGCTCTGCGGGTTTTACAGCTATCGGACAATGACTCTGGTGCCTGTTTTCTCCTCCTCTTCTCTCTCTTTTTTATTTTCTTCCTTTCCTTTTTTTTAATAGAAAATATCTCAGCATTGCCAGGACTCAAGTGGCCCCCTCTAGCAGTGAATCAATACAGCCAAGTGACTAGGCTTTAACTTCTTTTCTGGCTGACGCTCCTGGAACTGGCATAGAGGGGTTGTGTTACTCACACGTCCTCCCTTCCAAGGGTTTATTACCTTCGATCACATTTCTTAGAGGGAAGCACATATTTGTTTGGGAGGTGAGGGGAGAATTTAATAGCACCAGACTGCAGTCTAAGAGATGCTGAGAATGGAGAGGCTGGGGAGGGTGCACTGGATTTGGGAGAGCTCCTGGGAAGGTGGTAACCTTGAGTTTTGCAATTTTCTTCCACGCTGCTAGAGCATGTGTGGAGCCCCAAATAAGCCTTTATCTCCAACCTAAGTATAGGCAAGAGGAGGGTGAAGATTACTCTTTATTAGTTCTTTGCTTTGATAGAGTTGATCCTGCCCCGGATTGACTGGCTACATGACCTCCTAGAGGCCTTTTCAGATCTCTTTTCTATGATACTTTCTGAGGCAGCCTGCAACAGATGCCCCCTCTGCAAAGCTTGCTTCAAGCTGCAGTTAGAGAAGTGCCTGCAACACAGTTTGGATTTACTTCCCCTCAGCTGGTGATTACTGCCCCCTCAGATGAGCATGCAATTGCTCCTGGGCTGTTTCAGTGCCATGTAAGCCATGCTTTCTCAAATCCCCTTTAGTATGCTGCCATAATGCTGCTCTTTGACCCTGCACTACCCCCTTCAACAATGCCGCCTTCTTACCCTGACTCTTAACTTAGAGCAAGCTTAATTTTACCTTGTTACGCTACAGCTATCTGTGCCCTCTGCACTCCCTCCCTCTGTCATCCTCCTCTTCAGTGGGTCTATCAAGTGGCACATGTTGCATGAAATACGTAAATTCTTTCTGTTTATGATTGAATATAATAAAGTCTGGTGACTGTGCCTTCCAGGTGGCTTTTGGACATGCAGCATTTAGTGCCTGAATGATTGATCTCTGATCTTTAAAATAGGGCTGTGAAAACCATAGGGAATTTGCATGCATGTGGAGTATAAAGCCAGGAAATAGCAGCTCTGAAACTCTCTAGCCCCTGCCCTTTATTTCCTTGTGTTGAGTTTTCCATGTTTGACAATGCACAGAGTAGTGATTTATGTATAACCAGAGCAGCCTCCAGTGGTTGGATCTGTGAACTCTTCCAAGCTGCCTGTTATTTTCAATTCACTTATGGGTTTTGCAGACCCATAACCCTGATTCTTGCTCCGAGCTCCCTTTCGGAGAAGGGAGAAGAGCTGGGAGCAGCGTGTTCCCGGATTATTCTGCTGGGAGCAGAATCCATCCCTAATTGAGCTGAAAACAGCTGCTCCATCCTCACTGCCGTGGGCCTGCTGTGCACAGCAGTTCTTGACAATAGCTGAGATACAGGGATGCCGGAGCTGCCTCTGCCAGCATCCTGCCCCTGTTGTAACAGCGGCACACCCTCCACAGCAGGGAGTTCTGCCAGTCGGGGTACAGCAAATCTGTGTCAGCACTATCATTAAAAACAATCCAACCCTCCAGGTACTCTGTACAGCAGTGCCCATGACGAGGGGGAATCTGGGCCCTACCTCTCCTCTGTCTCTGTGGCTACGCTCCCACATAATCTTTATCTGCTAAGGCCCAGATGGCCCGGTTCAGTTATTGGCTCAGGCATCACAGAGTGACAAAGCTCCTTGGAAAGTGAGGTTGCTGGACATCTTCATAGCCAGACCTGGCAGCTGGCTGCTTCCCAGAGAGCAGCTTTGAGAGTCACTGCTGGCAGGGGAGAGGGAAAGCACTAAGATATGGCTTGGGGAAAGGAGGAAGAAAAGGGCCACTTGATGTTTCTTTTGTGTTTATCTTTTAAATTCTCTCTCTCTGCCTTGCTGATTAGTTCTCAGAACGAGTCTTCCTTCTTGGAGCCCTCCCAGGCAAAACGCATGACAGACAGGACTCTCACCCTGGGGTTATCAAAGGGAACTGGGAAAACTGAGCAAAACGTATGAGGAAGGCATAGCAAACCGCAAATGGTATTTGTGCCCCCGCTGAGCCTACAGCTCAGTCCCATTGCTCTGAGCTGCTCCTTGCCTTCAAGCATAGGAGCTTCAGAAGCAATACACCAAGCTGATAAATCCTACCAGGGAGCAGGGGAGTGAATCAGTCTCTGCTACAGCAATGATGTTTATGGAAAACAGGGGGAGGAGGTGAGGCAAAGAAGTCTGTTTTTTTCTGAGAAAGTTCCCTTATAAAAAGTTGGATTGCTGACATTTTTCCTTGATGCAGCTGCCCAGGTATTTCAAAGTGTCTGAGTTTTCATTATCTAAGAAGTAGTCACTGGCTTTGCTGGGAACTTCTGTCTGTTTTACAAAGTGTTTAGATTATTATTATTATTATTATTGGAATAAAAACATACAAACCACTAATTCTTTATTTAAATTACGAGTAAGTTCCCTGCAAGTAACACCCTGCCAAAACACTTATCCACCTGATTTTTTCCATGTATAATTTTTTTTGATTCAGTTTTAACCTTTTGTGATGGAGGTTGGAGGTGTCTCACAAAGCTGTGGAAATGCAAACTTACCTTTACATCATTTGGCAGGAGTTGCAGGAGTGCTGCCAGGCAGAAGTGAGAAGTTCAACCTTTCTGCAGGTAAGTGGAATCAAAACCCTTATTCAGGACAGGCTTTTCCCAAGCTGACAGCGTCACACAGCAGAAATACAGCTAGTTCAGTGAGCAAAGTCAGCCTGCTCTCCCAGAGTCTCCTGGTATGTCTCTCTCACTGTCATCTGTGCACCCCAGGAGTCTGAGCATGGAGGAGTGGGAACAAACTGTGGAGAGGAGAATAAATCAGATCTCTGGATTCTGCTCCCTACACCTTGAAGAGGAGCCAAAGGGAGGGATCAACGACTACTCCTTGGTGCCTGGGAGTAGAGGCAGCTGGCTGCAGGGTAGGATTTCTTGAGGACAGGAGCTAGGAGCCCATGCTAGGAGGTAGGAAGGTGACTCCTGGCCAGGCAGCCGGGCTGTACCTGTTAGCTCTGTCTATCTGTGTCTGGAGGTGGTGTATATCCAAAGTCTTTTGAACCTATATATGCTCTTAGCCTCCACCACAGCTGCTCTGACAATCCTGTCCTATCATTTAGCTGTGCACCAAAGTGAAAAATATACCCAAGGTCTGTGATCTACCGAGAGATGTGAACTGCTTTGAGGTTGTACTCCTGGGACCTGTGCTGTCAGTAGCACATATTGAAAATGCCCAGCTAAACTTCATTGTGTGTATGTACTTTGGTGCAGATGAGAGAGGATGGGCGTCTGGTAATGCTGAGTTCATCCTTGAAGCTTCTGGGGTTGCATCCAGGGCTGGTCACAGGTTCAGCTGAAAACAAAACCGGCAAATTTTATTATTTTTAATCAAAGAGCGGGTGGGAATGCTGTAAATGTCATTTTGGATCTTCTTAGAACATGTTGTTTGGCCTGGAACAACCGTTTTTGATTCTTCTGTAGTCATTTTTCCCATTTCACGCTCCTCCTTTCTGATTTGAATCAAACTTTTAAATTGAAAGGCAGCACTTCAAAGGGGAAAGGAAAAATTTCTGCCTGGAAAATGTTTAACAGAAATATTTCAGCATTTCTGAAATGAATGGTGTCGTTTAGAATATGTCAAAACAATAAGCTTCAGCCTTTTGAGCGTTTCCTCTTTTTTTTCCAGGTAAAAATATTCCCTTAGACATGAATTGTGGATAGTTTTAAGTTTCCCTCTCCCCTCACAAAGTCTTATTAGCAAATGAAGAAAATAGCACCAAGCCCTGGCTCTGCCAAACAGACCCTAGCAAGGAGGCTGGACAAGGTCAACTATAAAAAAAGAAGCAAAGGAGCATCCTCTAGAGACTGCTACAGACTTGCAATATAGGTAATCATGTCATAAGTACCACTTTATTGGCTTTTTCATTTCTCTTTCTCTGTGTGCCTGTGGCTTGTGGCTTGCTGGGGGAAGAGAAGCGAGAGCAAAGCTGGCAGGAGAATTTTGATGTTATTATGGCTGTTGTTTATTTGTCTGTGTAGTAATGTGAATTTATATGTATGTCTGTGCATGCTTGCATGTGATCTCTGTAGTTGTGTCCATCTCCCTCATTCCCTCCATATCCATCCATGCACAGCATGATATAAACAAACCTGCCTCTGGACATGTCATGGCTTAAAATAGATGTTCATACATCAGCCTTTCCACAGCAGCGGCAGCAGCAGCAGCAGGAAGACATGGCCGACTGGATCTGACTACAACACTCAGTTTGAGCCGAGAAATCACAGCCCTCACAAAGGTAGAGTAACGGGTGGGCGTCTCCTTCCTCCTGCGTGTCTGTCTGTCTGTCTCTGCAGAGTGTGTGGGGTTGAGCAGCCTGCGCTTGTTCAGCAATGCCTCTCCAGAGCTCGCTCTGTGCTTCTGGGCAGGCTCCGGCTGTTTCTCTTCTCCCTCCCTCTGAGCATGGCGCTGCTGGCAGGGGCTGGAGGCAGCCAGCAGCATGCGTGGGAGAGTGGGGTGCAAGCCTCCGGGCTTGGCTGTCCAGAGGGGGTGCAGCTGATAACCTCCGAGGGGTTTGGGGGCCAGGAGTGCTTTGGGGTCTCTTCTGAGGTTCTGGATGTGGGGCAGTTTCTCTTCTCCTGCAGCACTTTGGGGGTGCTGGTGTGGCGGTGTGTTGTGGGGTGGAATGCTGGAGGGCAGCTTCATGCCTGAGGTTTCTAGAGCTACATCCCAGAGTAGGTGTGGTTTGCTATTGTACTAGCCAGCTGTAGCAATAAGAGGGTCTGCTGTTAGGTTAGTTACAGCTTCACACCGATGATTTGGTGTTTTTCAGACCCGTCTGCTGTTTGCTTCCTAATGTTGCCCAGGGCACTGTGGAGCTGGTGGCATTTGGCTGGGCTGCAGCCAAGGTCACACAAGGTTTAAGGGCCTGCTCCATTTGCAGGGCCCCAGCACACTGCCGTGCTAAATGCCCTTTCCAGGTGCAGCTTGCCAAGTCTTAATTCCCAGCATTAAGGAATCCAGAATTCATCAGGGCAGGGGTGATGTGTCAGGGTCAGACATGGCTGGTGCCCCATGCTGGGGAAGCGTGTGTTATGCTGAGTGCCAGCTGCGAGCAGTCTTGGCAGGGCTGCCCTCTCCTGTGCTGCACCCCAGCACGCCAAAGGCAGGGTCAGAGCTAGCATCTGCAAAAAGGAGCAGGGAGGAAGGTATCTGTGGGTCTCTGGACTCCCTCTGAGTTTCCTCCATGCTCTTGCAGTGTTTTCCTCCTCTGCGTGCTGCCAAGAAGGTGGCTAGAGGCTTCTTCCTTCTGTACTGTTGGCTGCTGGCCGGTGTCTTAGGCAAAATGTCAAAGCAGACAGACCGATGCTCTGATCCAGCCTGGCCAGTCCAAGGTCATTGCATTTTCTTCTGCCGAGCCCCAAAGACAAGTGGCCAGTGCTGAGCTGCTGCTGAGAAGAGGATTGCGATGGGATGCCCCTTGGACGGGTTCCCAGCCCCTTCAGGGCAGCTTGGGGCAGCAGCATGGCGGCTGGAGAGGGAGAACTATAGTCTCATCTTGGGGGGGGCACTTCAGTCAGTGCCAGTTAGAGGGGCAGCAGCAAGCAAGCAAAAAAGGCGGCTGTGACTAATATTTGGCTGCAAGGCTGAGTTACTGCTCTGCATGGGTAAGGCTGTCCAGGGAGGTTTCCTGCAGATGGGTGACAAGTATCAGGATGATCTAAAGGTTTGAGAGCAGAGCTGCATCCTAATGGATCTGTTCTGTAAAAGGAGCTTTTTCATCCCCTGAAATTAACTCTTCCCACCCCAGCCCAGTCGTAGATGTTCAAATGCAGCAAGACTGCTGTACTCAGGGGTTAATCCAGCTTCTCCCTCCCTGCAGGCTTTACTGCCTGGTCTGTAGGAGGCTGGGTCCCAGCCAGGCTCCGTATGGTGCCACATGGAATCCTCCACCTGTTTGGGGTTTTTCCTCCCCTCCCCAATCCTGGTATTTTGCCCGCAGCCCTGGCTGCCTTTCATTGCTTCTGATCACAGGTTGGCAACATGAGCTCTTGAGCTGGCATTGTCACACTGGCAGGCAGAGCCCCCGAGCCAGCTCAGAAGGAAGGTGGTCCTGTATAGAGTATCTCTTGCCAATACGGCCTCAACCCAAAGACATGAGGCTGGAGCAATACCTCAGCCCACGGAGACTCAACAATCTGGCTTCCTCTCTGGATTGACTCACCAGCCCTGGCATCATAAATTTCTCCCTATTGCTTCCTGGAAGGGGATATAGGTGATGCTCTTTCTCTCACTGGGAATGATTGGGTAGCTGGCTTTACATAGCCATTTCATCAGGAAGATCAGACTTGGCTGCTTTGGGCCAGTATTTCTACACAGGGGATGGAGTGAGAGGTCCCCAGTTCTTCTAATGGCATCTCCACTGCTTCCGTGACAGGACCGTGGGTGGCAGCAGCAGCAGAAGTGACCTCCAGGCCACTCTCCGGCCTTCACGAACCCACAGGTATGCCTTGTGGGTCTCGGCAGCTCCAATGGCTTTCCTGTCCAGGTTCTCCAGGAATGGCACCAAGTCACCAAGCCGGGGCTCGCGGGAAGAGCGCAACAACCACCCCATCCTCAGCGTCTTTGAGCTTGAAAGGTTGCTGTACACAGGAAAGACAGCCTGTAATCATGCTGATGAGGTCTGGCCAGGACTCTACCTGGGAGATCAGTATGTATCATATGGGCCTGAGAACTAGGGGGTTCAGGGATGTGTGAAATTGGGAAATCTGGGAGAGGAAGGATGGGAAGTGTGAGGGGGAGAAAAGGATATGAGGCGAGGTGGGAGGACATGGTGGGTTTGGTATGGAGAGAAGGAGAATGATGGACAGTAGCACAGCTGTAGGGAGCATTCAGAGTATTCCTCAGTAGGGGGGATGGAGGTGGTGTGCCTGTTGTGCTGCCATCCTAGGAGACAGGAACCATGAGACCAACTCAAAATTTAAGAATCTGTGGCATTTTTCCTTTGCCTCTGGGTTTCTCCGCCATAAATGTGTGTCCAGGACAGCCCTTAAACTGTCCTTGGAAACGTTTCTGTAATGAAAGCTAAGTTTCTTGGGTGATAACTGGGTATGTCTCTGGCTTTGAGACAGATGTTAGGCCTGTGGTTAAAGCAGTGCCAGCATTGTGCAGTGCGAGGGGTCTCTGATATACCATAAGTTAAACCAGTTTTGCTAAACTTATGCATCTAGTTTTCATCTTCTATACTTTCCTCCTTCCTTGCAGAGATATAGCAGCTAACCGGCGTGAGCTGGCTCACCTGCGGATCACCCACATCCTCAATGCCTCGCACAGCAAGTGGAGAGGGGGTGCTGAGTACTATGAGGGCACGGGCATCCGCTACCTGGGCATTGAGGCCCATGACTCGCCTTCCTTTGACATGAGCCCCTACTTCTATCCTGCAGCTGACTTCATCCACCAGGCGCTGAATGAAGGTTGGTGGTAGAGATGACCAGGAGAGAAGTGAGGAGCAGGGAGGGGAGAAACTCACCTGGGCAGGTGGGAAGCTGATTTGAAATCCTTATTGTTAAACATACAGGGAAAAAACAGATTTCTAGCCTGGGTGTTGTTTCCTACACGGGATCACCTCTTTGAAAGAGGAGTCAGGCTAGATCAAGGTGCTGGCCTCCCAGGCTGCAGTCCCAGCTAGTGTCCTGGGCTGTGACTGGTCCTGCTTGGGCTGTTTTGGGAGATGATGATGCATCAATACCTCTTGCCAAGGGAGGGACCTCAGTGCATCACAGAGTCATATTCTCACCAAGGCCCAGTGTCTAACCCAGGAGGCCACAACTGAGCCAGAGCTTCAGGATGCACTATGGCAAATAGTTGGATTCTGAACAGCTTTTTAAAAATTGGAACATTTAGCCTGCTGTGACATAGCCACTCTGTTTCCCTCCACCCCCCAGGAAGGATCCTTGTTCACTGTGCTGTTGGGGTGAGCAGGTCGGCCACCTTGGTCCTCGCCTACCTCATGATCCGCCACCACATGCCCCTGGTAGAAGCCATAAAGACGGTCAAGGACCACCGTGGTATCATCCCCAATCGGGGTTTCTTGCGCCAACTTGTTGCCCTGGACAACGCCCTGAGGCTGAAGAGGAGCATGTGAAGGAGGACGAGAGAGGCTGTGCAGTGGGGGGGGCGTTGCGTGTGTGGTGTGCACCTGACCCCGGTGCCTGCTGAGTGGCAGAGACAGGGCTCTCCTTATGGTGCAGATGCTTGGCAGCTAATGGGTTACATGCAAGTGGCCCTGAGGCCCCCCCATCTAAGGGGTACCCCAGATGCGAGCTGTTCCTAGTGGTAAAGCATATGCCCTCAGCCTGCAATCTTGCCAACTAGGTAGGCCTAATATATAGCCTCCTTCCCAGCCTGCTCGCTCAAAGATGCATCTGGAGGGATATCTTCGACCCGCATTTCAGGTTATGCTCTATCCCTGCTGGCTCTGGGAAGCCTTAAGGGTTGGTTCTCCCACCTGGCAGGTGCACTCACCAGGCCAGTGCCATCCCTCTCTCCCAGGAGATCCAAGCTCTGCGTGTCCCTTATCTTGTTTTCCATTCATTTTTTGGTCTGTGTGTGGCAATGTGACTCAAGCCTGGTGTGTGGGCTGTGTCAAACAGGCCTTTAGTCGTAGTATTTGGATGTCCTCTGTGCCTAGTGTTAAAGTGTAAGAATAAAGACACTGCTAAGGAAAAAGTCTGGTCATCTCTCCTGTTTTGGGACATGATCCAGGTTGGGCTTCTTCATAGTGGCTGTGGGAGAGCAGCGCTCTGGGCTGAGATGGGCCCAAATCCTCCCAAATGCTGGGTCCGGAGGCTCAGGTCTGAGGCTGAACTTGTTCACTCAGACCCCACTGATGGCTGGTGCCTGTGCTGAGCCTCCCCAGTCTGGTTTTCTCCAGTGGTGGGGACAGAAAGGGGAGCTCTGAGTGGAGAGCAGAGTCCAGCTGGCGGTACAGCAGCCCTGCCTGGGCTTTGCAGGGTTACTAAGACTTCTCACTACATCAGGAGGTTGTGAGCAGAGAGGACAGGGCTGATGAAGGCAGGAGGTGGCTTTTGTCTGCTCAAGTATGGATTAAGGCTCTTGGCCCCAAATTCCGGTAGGAAGCAGGGGAGAGAAGAGCGAGAAGAAGTGAACTTCTGCTTAGATACGGATCAGCATTGGACCAAAGCAGGGAGAGATGCTCAAATGAGGGAAAAGAGGATTCTCTGAGCTTTGGGAATACCCCAAGTACAGAGACAGAGCCTTAGTGCATGGCCAGAGAGGGACTAGGCTAGCCTTGTGTTTGCTTTGCTGCTGGGTTATTTCTAACAGCATCCTTCGATCTGGCATGGGGATCCAGGCTTATGAGGCCCTGGGAGGCCAGCATGGGCCCAGGACCAGCATCTCCTACCTGAAGTCATTGCTGCTGGGAGAGGTGCCAACCCTGCTCTGCTCGGCTGTGTACGCCACCTGCCCTCCTGGCAGTCTGGGGTAGGTGGTTCTGGCCCGGCTGCTGTCGCATCTGCTTAGGCTGGCAGCAGGGTCAGGGAGCTTTGCCTTCTTCCTGCGCTGCCAGCGGGGACAGGGTGGCCCCAGCCTGTCCTGCTGGGCCAGACCCTGCATGGCTCTGTCTGGAGAGGCAAAACCTGGGTGGACGGCCCTCCCCAGTGAAGGCACCCCTGCAGTGGAGGGCCGGAAGCCCCCCAGCTCGGCAGGGAAGGAAAAGTGCAGCACCCCAGGATGCAGCCCACGTATGTGGGGCAGTGGGAACACAGGGGTGCTCAGCCTGCTGCCAGGGTTTTCCATCCATCACCAGATGGCGATGTTGGTCTCCCAAATCAAGCAGACGCTAGCTGTCCACTGGGGCTAGCCAAAAGACTAGCTAGCCACAGGCCTGTGAAAATTGGCTTCCCTGCTTGCAGAAGGGCAGGACAGGTGAGCTGGGCCCGGGGGAGAGCAGGCACCAGGATTGGGAGCAAGTGGCAAAGGTGGCAGCTGGCCCCCTGGGCGCTAGGCTGTCCCTGCATGCTGCCAGCACTGATTGCTGCCCACTCTTATTATAGCCCCATTCTTCCTCAGCTCCGGAGAGCACACGAATCGCAACTTGGCTGCCAGCTGCAGCTCATGCCCACATCTCATAACCATGTAGCAAGAAGAGCCTGATGGCCACAGGGGGTGAGCTGCTGGTCCTGGGGTGCAGCCTGCCTGCCTGGGGCTCCCCCACATACCCAGTCTATGTCCGGGGGTGCCACAGGGCCTGTCTGGCTACCAGGGAGATGTGGGCAAAAGCATGTCCTTGCTTTTGTCAGTACAGAGTGACGTTGTGATGTTGGCTGAGGGTGAAGTACTGTGAAGTACTTCACAGGGGTTTTGAGGGGTAAATAGCGCGCTCTGAGGCCTGTGCTGTAGCACCCCATCGCTGCCAGCTGGTGCCCCCGAGCGATGCTGCCTCCAGGGAATGCCTTTCTTTACTCTCCCTATTGCACTGAAGTTCAACTCTTTAGTTTGCCACAGTCATGAGAACCTGCTAACATGTTGCCCAACTCCCTTTTTAGGGACTCAGCTCGTACCGGACCCTAATGTGCCCGAGGGTGTTCGGGGCATGGCACCGGCCCAGCAAGGCACCAGTAGGGAGAACAACAGATCTGACTGCTGGCAGCAGAGCCGAAGTGACCCGGATCGAGGACTGCAGCCTCAGAGGCAAGGAGGGGCCAGCGTTGGGCAATGCATAGGGGTTGGTCACACTCTGCTGTGGCTCTGGGTGTTGCTAGGACTGGGAGACTCCAGAAGCTTCAAGGGAAGCATGTAGCTTGGCAAGGTCCCAGGTTGATGTAAAATGCCTTCTGTCAGGTTTTGCAATTCTGCTTTGTGCTCCTTGCTACTGCGCACGACTCCCTTTGTGTAGCCTGCTGCTAATCAGGCCCCAAACTCCGAGTGCTGTCATTGTTCAGTAAAGCTGGGATCAGGGAGGCTCTGAGCACAAGGGGAGGTTGTGTTTGTTTGAGGATCAGCAAACTAATCTAGAACGAGAAATCACTGACAGAGCCTGGGGGTGTGCTGTACCCCCCTGTGTGCTTGCAGTGTCTAGGTGCCTGTGTTGGGGGGTCGCTGTGTAGCTTGGGAAAGCACCCTGATTTCTGGAGAGCTGTCAGCAGAGCCCCAGCAGCCAGGCACACAGATCTGCCCAGGCCCCAGGACTGTTAGCGGAGGACAAGGTGCAGATCCTGCAGTGCTGCTGCCCGAGCCACGGGACACACGGGGGAACATTGAGCAGTTTCACGGCCCCACGCTGCTGGCCCTGCTGCCCTCATGGTCCCCAGTCACCTGCAGGATGCAAAGTTTGGAGGGAGATGCTGATCATGTCCAAAACCTCCTCCACATCCCCTGCACAAGGCTTAGAGCAACCCTGAGCTCAGTGCCTTCAGGGAGGGTCTCCCCAAGGGCTGGGTCCATACACAAGGGCTGGGTGGGCTCCAGCCTGGTGGCAGGAGAAGCGGGTAATCAAAACCCGGGACATGCGCAGAGCGTTTCTGTGAGGCGATGGAGCCGTCACGCTGTATGTGAGCAGAGCTCCTGGCTGTGCATCACAGAAAGGAATGTACATTGCAGGAGCACGTACCGCTGGAATGGGCATCACAAAAACGCCCATCGCAGGAGCGTGCATCGCAGCAGCAGCCCCGGCTTTCTGAGCTCTCCGCCCTGGAGAAACGGCCCCCGGAGCGCCCCACGCCTCACCCGCCTCGGCTACTTGGCCGGCGGCGGCCGCGGTGCTCGGCGCTG